TGCCTTTATAATAGTGTAGTCCATATATAAAATTAGTCTGCCTATTCTTTGCTAGACTTTAATACAAAGCCCTAAGATACCTTTAGAGGCGTATGGAGGTTTTGGATCTAGGGAAAAAGGCAAGTCGATTAAAGGCGTATAGAAAAATCGTAAAAGTGTAGTTTATATAAAAACGCGTTTTGCAATAGTAAATATAATATATTAAAACTAAACTATTGTTCTTGCGCCCCCCCCCCCCCTAATTCATTACAATTTTGAATTTGCTACTATTTAATTTCTTTAAAAATTATTGTTTAGCACAATAAGGTATAGGTTAGATAACTTTATCACTGGTATTTGCAAAAACAAGTTTCATAGAGAATTAGCTGTTTAAAAAGCTATGATTCTGATTGTAAACAACCATAGTTATTCTTTTTCAGAAGTTTCAACTAAATTTACTTGAGGTATTTAAGTAGCCTATATCCTGATGATCTCGATCCATAATAATGTTCTTTAAGTTGTGTGAGAATGTGTTTATTTTTCTGTACAACAATTCAGCTCCCTTCTCCCACCCTCACCCAATATGATGGCATATCTATATATATATAATTCTCTTCTGGGAGACGCTAGAAAACAAGCTGTAAACGCGCTCCCTACAACCCCCATCCCTACATGGTCTTAGTGAGCTGTGTTCACTCTAAATGTTTACAAGCAGAGCCGGGTTTAGTGACGACTGTTAGGGGCAGATAATTTAGTTTGAAACGATTTTAAACATAGGGGGGGGGGGGAGGGGAGGGGGGGGGGGGTTAGGGTCCTTAACGTGCTACTTATAGTGTTTTAAAGAAATATTTTCAGTGGCAGCGTTGGTACCGTCGAATTCACAAATTATGAATTACTGAAAAGTAGAAAAAAACAACAACTAAATAGCGGCGTATGTTATGCCGCGGGCCGGCTCGTAGTTTTTAAACACAGTCCACGTAAAAATATGTTCATATGTACAAGATGCATTCTGTCGATGTTCTAGATCAGCTTATATTCAAGTGACCTGCAATTTCACTTCCTGCTAGTATTGGCAGAGATAATCAAAATCTTACTCTAAGTGACACATTTTACGTGAACAATGAACCTACGTCACTCGACTGATCTTAAAACCCAAAGATAATAGTCCCTCCATATAAAAGACGTGGTCCTATATTGAATTCAGTCTGTCAAATGCTACACTTGTAAACTATGATCAAACCGTGGGTGGTTGATGGTCCATATCCAGTAGGAATAACGCAAACAGCAGACGTACAGAATGTTAAAGTGGGTTGACAATGAGCTAGGCATCGAGAAGTAAGCCAAGTGTATACTCAGTGGCGTAGCGAGGTCGGGTGTCACCCGGTGCGGCACTTAATGGTGTCACTCCCCAGAGGTGTAGCGACTCTTCCCGGGGACAAACGTTCAAATTTTCGATTCGCACCTCCCCCTCAAGTTTTTCTCTATATATTTTGCTATTTTTAGCCTTTGTGTCACCCCCTAAATGGTGTCACACGGTGCGGTCCGCACCCCCCCCACCTCCCCTTCGCTACGCCTCTGTGTATACTCACGATGAGCCATTAAAAATGTTGAAATTTAGGCTGAGTAACAATCTTAAATTCGTAGTCTCTGTTAGGTGGGTCTGTTTGCTGATTTTTTTTTCTAAATTTTATTTTAGGAAACTTATTTTAAATAATATTTAATTAATCTCTGAAAAAGGCGCCACTGTCCTTAAAATGGTCGTAGGGGGAGCTGTAAGGGGAAGGGGGCCGCTCCCCCTCTCCCCCCTGCAGAGCCGGCGTTAGGAGTACGCGGGGCCTAGGGCCAACCATCCGCGCGGGGCCTTTCCATTATATATATATATATATATATATATATATATATATATATATATATATATATATATATATATATATATATATATATATAAAGGCCTATATAATGTGATGTACACATAATAACACAAATGTTTTGGAGTTTATAAGCTAATGTCAAACTTTCCACTATAATAACAGATTTTTATCTCTTCCATGTATTAACCCAATGTTCGTAGTTTTTTTTTCCTTTACTAAGATATTAAATCACTTTTAACAGTTATGTAATTCATACCAAATCACGTGCCGAATAATTAGGAAAATAAAGTTTACAATACAGCGAACTCGGCCTGATGTATCAAAACAGTATAGTCTTCAAAATTTGTTTAGAATTCATACAATATTTTAAAACCAAAATCATTATTGTCTTAATTATTGAAGGGGTGAATCCTTAAGGTGACACAACATAACAACAGTTTTAACTTTCTTCCAAAAAATAATAATAAATCACTCTGTTTAATGCCGCCTGATATAGATCCTAAGCCCCCCCCCCCCCCTCCTCGTCGCCCTCCTCCCACCCCTCTGCACGCAACTGAATGTTAATTTTGTTATACCAAGACAAGTAGGCCTACATATAGAGTAGCCCCCCCCCCCCCCGAAAACGAAATGAAATTTATATAATTTATAGAGAAAATATATACTTTTAACAGTGTCCGCACCCCCCCCCCCCGATGAAAGTCTACCGCCCCCCCCCCCCCGAAAATTTCAAGTGCCCCTCCCCCCCCGGAGAAAAAAGTCTGGAAGAAACACTGTACATATACATTATACGACATCTACAACAAGAAAGTCAGGACTAGAGTTCATCAGGTCACTAACTGTCTACTATAGACATCCCGTCTGCTCACTAAAAGGACGTCTTCATCGGTCCGCATACAATAGGGTATCTCTTTACGTCATGGGCTAATTCTCGACCGCTATCTCCAGTCAGCTCAGGTCAAATGCCAGGCGACCGTACCCTACACAAAGGGTAGGTGTGACACTATTTTTGTATCGAATTACGGCCTGTCCCAGTTCAGGTGGGACTCACCAACATCAACCGTGGCCTCAGTTATAACAATCAACAACGTCGGCGTTCCACCATTTAGTTTTTCCCAATTGAATTCAGCAACAATTTTTTTTTTTAAGTTTACGAACTAATTCAGATAACAATGACATTGCTGAAGCGCGGGGCCCCTTCAAGCGCGGGGCCTATGGCGACCGCCCCGTTCGCCACCCCCTAACGCCGGCTCTGCCCCCCTGCATTCGCTACTGGATACTTTATACGTAGCACACATTTTAAAATTCGGAAAACGTTGAGAATAATAAATAAGTGTGATTTGGTTTAGAATAAGCTTTTCCCATAGATGAAGTAGCAGGGCTTGTTTGCTAGTTCAAACTAATGCCGTGGTACGAGGTACGTTCTGTTAGTTGAGACTTTGATCACTTACATTTATGTTCTCGAGACGGCTCTTAGAGTGAAGTTAAATACCGACGATAGCTGTCCTGTGGTCTTCCAGCCTTGGTTGCCTTCAGAGTGAGAAAGGTTTTTGTGATTATAATGTGGTATAGAGGACCTTTGTCTGTGAGAGGTGGGGGCTTTGTGTAGCAGGGGTGGAGTTACGTGAAGTAGAAGTGGATTTACTGGTGGTAAAAGTGGAATTAATTGTAGTAAATGCGGGATTACAGACAGAGAATTGCGATAATAAGCAGTACACAGTTTACGTGTACGTGTACGTGTACGTGTACGTGTACGTGTACGTGTACGTGTACGTGTACGTGTACGTGTACGTGTACGTGTACGTGTACGTGTACGTGTACGTGTACGTGGTACGTGGTACGTGGTACGTGGTACGTGTACGTGTACGTGTACGTGTACGTGTACGTGTACGTGTACGTGTACGTGTACGTGTACGTGTACACGCATGTGTATGTGCGGGTGTGGGTTAAGATGTAGTTGCAGGTGTATGTGTAGGTATATGTGTAGGTGTACATTCGAAGATGTTAGTAGTAGGCCACACAAGTAGTGGCCCTAATCTAAGTTGAATCACATCCATTCAGAAAACCATTAATTTGACTCTAAATTCTACATTTTGTGTTTGTTCTAATCCATACAATAATTTTAACAACTCAAAAGAGAACGAACATAAAAATGTATTATGGTGACTAAAACCGTCGTTTACAAAATAAAAGTTAACCTTCTGATATATTATACAAAACAAACAAAGTTGAACCGTCGTGTCAATACTAGCCTCACGTTGTGTAATGGTGTGCGTGTGAAACGAACATCATTGGCTGATAAGTCAATAATGGACTATGGTTCTTTACAAAGTTTCCTATGTTTGCACAAAATATCAATATGGGCACGAATCAGCACGGGTGACTTTAAGGTGTAGAAACCTTATTTCAAAGGGGAAAAAATCATTTACCAGATTGACAAAAACGCATTTTAATTTAACACAAATGTATTCGTTGCGCTAAGGTTGACTCTTCGGTAGCATATCCAAACAAACGCTATCCTAATACAATCTCCATTCAACTTAAGACGCTTGGCTTTAATATATATATATATATATATATATATATATATATATATATATATATATATATATATATGTGTGTGTGTGTGTGTGTGGTGTGTGTATGTGTGTATGTGTGTATGTGTAGGTGTAGGTGTAGGTGTAGGTGTAGGTGTAGGTGCAGGTGCAGGTGCAGGTGCATGTGCGTGTGCGTGTGCATGTGTATGTGTGTGTGTGTGTGTGTGTATGCGAGTACATATGTATATACGTGTGTGTACATGTGTCTTTGTATCTATGTATGTGTGCGTGAGTGCTTAATTTTCTTTAAAAAGAGTACGTGTTTTTCCCTACACACATAAAAAGTGAATTTGCCTGAGAAAAAAAAACACGGCAAAAATTCGCATGACGTAAGCTAACATGTTTGCCAGACATTCGCTGCACTGCTACGATACGGTGAAGTGTTGTTGTCTGAGAGTTACCTCCCCCTTTTTATGTAGTTCACTGCCAGGTAGGATTATCTTATCTAGTAGACGGTTGTCAAGTTTTTTAATGCACTGTGACTGCTTTTAACACTATCTATACACTACTACAGTTCAATACCTAAGTTAATGAATTTTTATTTTTCTATTTTCAGTGTAAGAAAATTGAACGTATTGTTCTTGAGTGTTATTTAGTCATATGGATGTAACAAACAGAAACAGTATTATGTTATGTTGGTGATCAAATATTCGGATAACTTGTGCAAGTATGGCCCTCATGAAGCGCTGGTTCCGAGTTCTATCCCAATGTGGAGGCCGGCGGCCGCACCTGTTGATAATCAGTGTTCTAGGAGTGAATGTTTTATTTCTTATGATTATGGAGACGAAATACTCAATCAGAGGTTCGACTGTACTGTGTGATACACCATTCTCAGTTGAAAATAGCGGCGGTTTGACTAACGGTTTGGTAGAAGATAACTCGGGGGCTAATTCGTCGCTTTTACTGGAAGGACTAAGGGAGAGAATCAGCCAAGCGAGGATAACTCTGGAGGAGTTTTATGCAGGCAAAGCAACCGGGAACCCGCTGATAGACGGGTATGGGAGGAACAACCTGTCGGCCCCAGGGGAGATGGGGTTGGCTGTCAGACCCAGGGAGGACGAGAAAGACGAGGTGGACAAGGTCATGGCCGAATTCCATATCAACACCTTGGTCAGTGACCGGATACCACTCAACAGGATGGTGCCAGACTCACGCTTGAAGGGGTGGGTTGACTTTTCTTCTATTCACTTTTTGTTTACTTACATCAGTACAAAGTACGTAAATATGGGGCTCTGTTTGTTATCTGCCCTTAGAACTAATTCCAGAAATACCTAGACATTTTGACACCCGGGTGGACTTTCGTTTATCACTACCCCTGATAAACGTAAGCTCCACTTCCCCATTCTTCGATGTTAGATAACAGTGCAGATCCCGTCTTTGTCCTCTGCTAGATCAGATCAAGTGCGCTAGAGTGCTTACCCGAAAGTCTCGAGTTTGAATCCGGGTTCAAGCCAGTAGAACGTCCACCCAACTCTGATGGGTACCTAACACACGTTAGGGAAAGTAAAGGCGGCTGGGTATAGTGCTGACCACACTATCTCTTTACCGTGGTCACAGAAAAAGGTGGACTCTATTTCACTTGCTCCATAGACCGTTAAGTTCGAAAAGGGAAGTTTACTAGTTCAGATCAAGCCACTAAAGCATAGACAGGAATGAATCCTACATTAGACTACCATACATTTTCTATTCACATTTAACAGTTGTATTCTAGACTAGCACATATTTTTTCATTGCAGTATTTAAATAACGCCTAATTAAACATTTATTATTATAATTAATATATTAATTAATTAATATTAATTATTATACCACGCAGCTGTGACCTGTTGAAATATGCCCCCGAGAATCTGCCCACGGCGTCCGTCATAGTGCCCTTCTACAACGAATGGCCGTCCCTTCTCGTCCGCACCATCTACAGCATCATCAACAGGACGCCGAGACGCAACTTAAAGGAAATTATTCTAGTCGACGATGCCAGTACTTTAGGTAAGGCTACTTTCACAGGCACTATTTGTTTTTTTCTTCTCAAAACGACGATTATGGATAAAGTTTATGCACTGTTAGGCGAGGCTAGATGAGATATATAATATTGGTGGTACCAGCTAAATAAACTACACGAACCAGAACTCAAGTAATGAATCGTATGCAACTTGTATCTCAAGAAATAACAAAGCACTCATTTACAAGAGTCTAACCTACACAACTAATCATATACTCGCAAAACTTTAATTTACAGAAGTAGCCTAACAAAAATCGCGAAAGTCAAATGTAGACTTACAAAAGTCACATAATTAATCAAATCTATACTTGCAAAATTCTAATCCACAGAATAAATCAAACCTATACTTGCAAAAGTTTTAATCCACAGAATTAATCATTCCTAGACTTGCAAAAGTCTAATCAATACAACTAAAAAATTTCAGAGGCTCTCCACCGGCCGTTGGTAGACTACATTGACCAGAACTTCCCACAAGGGTTGGTCAAGCTCATCCGTATAGCCGACCGTAAAGGTCTGACAAAGGCGCGCATGCGCGGATGTGATGCGGCCACAGGCGACGTTGTTGTTTTCTTCGACAGTCATATGGAGGTGAACATTGATTGGTAAACATGGGATAACTTGCCTCTAAACTTTTAAGTTATGGTTCTTTGTGGTAGAGCGCGGGACGGTTAACCCGAAAGTCTCGAGTTCGAATCCCGGACTCATGTTAGGGAAAGTAATACGGCAGGGTAAAATGCTATCCACACTTTCGCTTTATATGTCGATGTCACATTAGCAGGGGAAATCTTTTATATCCTCCCTATTGACCTCCAGGTTGAAAGGGTAACTAAACTATTGCAAATAACTTTTATTTATTTATTTTCTTATTTATTTACTTGGCAATATTTTCTGTAAACACAAAACATGACTTGTATGCACGTAGTGGAAACGTTTAGACCAACTGAACTTATTTAATGGTAGTTGTTCGACTGGAAAGTGTATTGGCCATCCCATAATTTCAGGCTACAGCCAATGCTGACCGAAATCGCCAAGGACCGTAAAACCGTTGCCATGGCCACGCTGGACTACGTCCAGGCCGACACGTTCGAGTACCGGTACAACCACGACTACCTGACCAGGTACGGCTGGACCTGGACGCTGGGGTTCTTCGAGTCGCTCTTCAGGGATGACCAGATTGGGAAGGACGAGCGGAGCCCGCGGGTGTAGGTTGATTTGTATGTATGTGTGTTTGTGTACATGTGTGTTTGTTTTCCCGTGTGTATGTTTATGTTCACGTGTGTAGGTTTATTTATATGTGTGTATGTTTGTGTTCATGAGTGTTTTTTTATGTGTCTGTGTGTTAATTTAATGAGCTAATGTGTATGTTTATGTGCAATGTGCAGGTTTATTTGTATGTGTAAATGTTTGTGTTCATATGTGTTTGTTTTCATGAGTGTGTGTGTGTGTGTGTTAATTTTATCGATCTTATGTGTATGTTTATGGAAATATGTGTATGTTTATTTATATGTGTGTATGTTTGTGTACATTTGTGTTTGTTTTCATGTGTGTGTGTGTGTGTGTGTTAATTTATCGAGCTTATATTTATGTACACGTGGTTATTTTTATTTAACCGTAAGTCTGTGCTCATTTTGTTTACTTAAATATGTGTATTTGTGTATGTGCATTGTGTTAATATGTGAGCATGTGTATGTTTACTTATATGCGTGTATATTTAGTTTGAGTTGTGCAAGTAACGTCCTGTCCCTTGGGTCCATCAGCTGTGTAGGGAGGGGGGGGGGTTGATACACATACACGTGCAACATCTGGCACTTCTCATCTTACTGCCTAGTTTCATGTGCGCATATATGTTAACTTATACACATATATGTATACGTACATACATTTGTGTATGTTTTTACTTGTGTAAGTCTTTTTACACGTATGAGTGTGTACGTTTATGTAAGTTTATACACCTTTATGTATATTTATTTTGACTACGGATATATTTTAACATATGTTCACGTTTAATTATGTTTGTGGACAAATATAATATTTACATATGTTAATCTGTATGTTTATTCAAGTGTAAAATTGGTCTCAATACTCAATACATTCCGATATGTGACGGACAGCAGGTAACATACATCGAGTGTGTATGTCAACTCTCTAGACACATACATTATGGTCCAACTTTTATTCCAGAGGCGCCTCTATGGTGGGAGCAGCTTTTGCTGTGGAGAGGAACTACTTCATGGAGCTAGGCGGGTATGACGACGGTATGATCATCTGGGGCGGGGAGAACCTGGAGATGACATGGCGAGTACGTACACAACATGCTTTCAATATTTTAACCTTTGACCCGACACAACGCATGGCGCTTGTTTCCAAACATGCATTCAATATTTTAACATTTTAAAAACTCAGCCTCTTAGACCGCCCACATTCAAAACATGCACTCGATATTTTAATCTTTTTACATTTCCTGCTTTTTTGACCCGGTACAACAGTAACCTATCTGTCCTTTAGAGCCAATCCAGAGTTTATAAATAGGTGTAGTAGCAATAAATATATCTTAGATAAGGCGATTATGCATTAACACCTTAAATAAAAATAGCACGTTTTATAACAGGCCAAGACAATAAATCTATTCACTCTATAAACATCGCGGTTGTTTCAACAGAGATCTCAGTGTAATAAAAGGTCTAGGAGATTTTTAAAATATTTCTTAGTTACAAGACAAGGCAATTTTGCTATAAAATATAGCCAACACTCGTTTAAATAGTTCTTTTATTAATGATTATGTGTCGGGCTTTTTCAGATATTTTTAACCAATGGGGTGGGGGGGGGGGGGGGGGTGGGGGTGTAGGGGTGGCATTTTAAACTTTGGGGGATGTGGGAGCACACATAAAATTTACAGAGGAGCGGTCACTAATCAAAGTATATATTTTCTATATAAATTTTGTTTTCCTATTAAGTTTGGAGGGGGAGGGGCGGTGGACGTGCTGGGGGGGGGGGGGCTCTTTCCAGTGAGATTCCTGAATGAAAATGATAATGTGTGCTCCGATTTTATACTTATTTGTCTCTTAAACTATATTATCTACACACATTGTAACCGGGTCTTGCTTTAATTCTGCCTCACAAATTGGTCGTTTATTTAGGTCTGGCTATGCGGGGGTCGTCTGATTCACGTGCCGTGTTCCAGGATAGGTCACGTGGCACGGTCTCAGCCGTATTCGTTCCTGGTGGGCCGGCAGTACATCGAGCACTTCAACTACAAGCGGGCCGCGGCGGTCTGGATGGGCGACTACATCCGGTTTCCTTATGCTATATTTCCGGACATGAAGGTATGCCTGCTGTAACTTCCTGATTCTTCTTCTTCTTCGTTCTTAATGTGTCTACAATGAAGGTTCATACAAGTAGCCCAACATCGCTGACAAAGTGCATAATTATCTTAAGCTCAGCAAGCAGCCTGTACAATACGCACTGCTATATTATTTACTAAAGGGCAGCGTGGCCCAGCATTAGAGAGCTAGACTGCTAACCCGAAAGTCTCGAGTTCGAATCATGGTTCAAATCAAAGTCCCTGATTCTACCCAGCTCTGATGGGTACCTAACTCACGTTAAGGAAACAAAGACGGCTGGGCTTAGTGCCGACCACACGATCCCCTTATATGCCGAGGTCATTGAAACAGATGGGCTCTACTTCCTCTGTCCCATGTGTCTTGGGCACAAACGGAAAAAAAATGATGATTTTTTTACTTCACTGACTCCACAACTAGTTTCTAATTTAAGAAAATTATATTCCACTCCACACTGTACTTTTGTTTCATTCAGAATCTCGATGTTGGTGACTTAAGTGAGAGACTGGCCCTGAAAACAAAACTTGGATGTAAAGATTTTAGTTGGTATCTTCAGAACATTTGGCCAGAGTTGAATGTCTACGATGAGAACTCCACCATTTGGGGGCAGGTAAATTTTATTTTATCGTGTTCTAATAGTCGGATTTAACATACAAATATAGTTAGGGATTTGTCCACAAGTCATTGAAACTTAATTAATCACTGATAACAGAATTTTGTTCCTAGGCCTAACTGAACGTTATCTTAAACCTATCGTTAATGATTTCCCTAATCTTAAGCCTAATCCTGTTTTTATAACAACCCTAACTCTATCCAAGACTTTCCTTAAAATTAAAAAAAAAACTGTTATTGTTATTATCGTATATTAGAATACATTAATATGGCTAATCTTAACTAAAATATCATGTATGACGTAACGAAAAGATACACCTATGACGTACCGAAAAGATACATGTATGACGTAAACAAAGATACCTGCATGACGAAAAAAAAATGTCAAAATATCATGGCGTGTAGGCAACTAATGTCTTACCACGCTTGAATGAACAAACCAGGTACGCAACCAGCACAGTGACCTTTGTTTAGACACGGACAACCATCTCTACCAGTATGACGCACCACTGGCGATCAAAGCTTGTGATAAACCCATCTACATTCAGGTAAGGATAAGTTGAGGACAGGCGCTCTACACCATGGCCACTAGGTGTTGAATGATCAAACAGCTGGAACACATGATCCTGAATAATATTTTGTATCGGGGGTATTGATCAGCATCTACATTACTAACATTAACACACCAGCTTAATTGGATTCGGTTTTTTGTGTTGAAAGTGTTCGATTTCGATCGGTGTTAAAATTAATGAGTTATTGTAATGTAGTGTTAAAGTCAAGGTGATTCATATCAGATCCAATTTTTTTACAATGATATGACACAGTTACGTATTTGTATGTGAGGATCGATTATATGAAAAATTATATGTTTATATGTGACAATATAAGAACCAATTTTTGACAATTTAGAGCCCATTATAAGAAAAAGTAAGAGGGTACAAAAATACATTCATCGCACATTTTTCTTATCAACTAGTTGTGGAACAGAGGTGCGCACCCTCTATCGTACTCGGTGTTAGAAACTTATTTCACTCAGCCAGAGTTTCTTCCAGGCATCTCTTCGGGGGGGGGGGGGGGGGCTTTGCCCCCCCCGAAATTTTTTTACCGCCCCCCCCGAACGAAATGAAATTTATATAATTTATATAGAAAATATATACTATTAACAGTGTCCGCCCCCCCCCCCCCCGAAGAAAGTTTACCGCCCCCCCCCCCCCCCCCCGAAAATTTCAAGTGCCCTCACGGAGAAAAAAAGTCTGGAAGAAACACTGCACTCAGCTCATTATGAATGAGATTTCACTTAAACGTATTCCAAAATCAACTGGCGGCTTACAGATATTTTTGCTCGGAGAAAAAAAAAACGAAACAAATTGATAGAAAATAGAATGTATATTTTGTGATACAATAGAAAAAAAACTCAATTACTTCTGTTCATCCAGGGCTTCACGTTGAAAACCAACGGCCTGCTGATGGCCACGCTCCAGTGTGTCGTCAGTCACGACCCTAAAGAAAGGGCAAAGGTCAACCTGGGAGAGTGCTCACTTCAACACGACACCTGGTCCTACACACAGGTAAGTTGGTAATGCAGTCAGTGTTAGAACCAACAGGTGAGTTGATACTACATTCAGTGTTAGAACCAACAGGTGAGTTGATACTACATTCAGTGTTACAACCAACAGGTGAGTTGATACTACATTCAGTGTTACAACCAACAGGTGAGTTGATACTACATTCAGTGTTAGAACCAACAGGTGAGTTGATACTACATTCAGTGTTACAACCAACAGGTGAGTTGATACTACATTCAGTGTTACAACCAACAGGTGAGTTGATACTACATTCAGTGTTACAACCAACAGGTGAGTTGATACTACATTCAGTGTTAGAACCAACAGGTGAGTTGATACTACATTCAGTGTTACAACCAACAGGTGAGTTGATACTACATTCAGTGTTACAACCAACAGGTGAGTTGATACTACATTCAGTGTTACAACCAACAGGTGAGTTGATACTACATTCAGTGTTACAACCAACAGGTGAGTTGATACTACATTCAGTGTTACAACCAACAGGTGAGTTGATACTACATTCAGTGTTACAACCAACAGGTGAGTTGATACTACATTCAGTGTTACAACCAACAGGTGAGTTGATACTACATTCAGTGTTACAACCAACAGGTGAGTTGATACTACATTCAGTGTTAGAACCAACAGGTGAGTTGATACTACATTCAGTGTTAGAACCAACAGGTGAGTTGATACTACATTCAGTGTTAGAACCAACAGGTGAGTTGATACTACATTCAGTGTTAGAACCAACAGGTGAGTTGATACTACATTCAGTGTGAGACCCCACTGGTAAGTTGATGCTACTCACCTATTCACCTTCACTTTTAAACCAAAGTATTTTTTCCATATTATTTTCTCCGGGGGGGGGGGATTTGCGGACACTGGTTAGACCAGTGGATATTAACTCGCGAATAATAAAAATAAGTCGGAAAGCTGTGTCGAATTAATCTTTTTTTTATAGTAAAAAAAATTGTTATCGCATCTAGATCAACGATTTATCTTGAGACCTGTCATACTTATAGGATTAGGTTTATGTAAAAACTGCACGTAAAAACCTCCAAAATAATAAAAATAAATCCGGCTTTGATCCGCGGTACTTACCATTTTTTACAGCTGCTATTGATTTCAATACGCCACATATCCCTCCTCACGTTGAACTAAGAAATGTAATGGATGAAATGGTTCGGTTTCAATTTCATCTTGATAATTCTACGCTTCGTGACTGGGCCATAAAAAAAATACTCCAAAAACTCCATGCAATAAATGGGAATGTTATTGCCTAAATACAACGCATTATTGGTTAATAAGGTAACGAAGAATGTCTTTGATAAAATGTAATGGATGCAATGGTTCGGTTTCACAAATAATGTCAAATTCACCTTGATAATTCTACGCTTCGACTGGGCCACAGAATACTCCAAAAACTCCATATAATAAATGGGAATGTTATTGTTTAAATACAACACATTAGCGGTTAATAAGGTAACAAAGAATGTCTTTGATAAAATGCCGATTGAAGGTTTGATAATCCTAATGGCCAGAGTTTCTTTTTTTTCCAAGCATTACTTTGTCCCCCCCCCCCCTTTATATACCCCCTACTCCCGAAGTACGAACATCCCCCCCCCCCATGTCGAAATATAATTTATATGGAAAATATATAATTTAACTGGTATCCGCGCCCTTGCCACCTAAAAATTAAATCCGTCCCGTCCCCCCTCCCGAGATTTAAAAGTCCCTAAAGAAAAATGTCTGAATTAAATACTGCCAATAGCCTACAATGTGCCACATGAAATACCAAGTTTATCTAAGTTTGAACTCAACTAATTCTTTCAAGTAGAACAGCAATCTATTAAATCCACCATGATATACTGTAGACAAGTCATAAGTCAACTGGAGTGATCTTTATAATCTAGACAAGTCATAAGTCAACTGGAGTGATTTCTATAATCTCCAGGAGAAACAACTGGTGCACACCAAGTCATCTCTCTGTATGGAGCACCGACCTGATGGAGTGATTTTAAATCTATGTACCAAGGAACGGGCCTCACAGAAATGGATATTTCAACAGTACAGTCTAGGATAACATTCGTGAAATGTAGTTATTTTGTTGGTGAGGTTCTGGGTGCTTTTGAATGTTGGTATAGTTTAGAATAACAACTTTTCAAAATTTTGAATGTTGGGTTGGTGATGTCTAAGAGATTTGTGAATGTAAGGAATTTTATTGGCGTGGTTTGGGTGGGATATTTGTGTAAGTTGGATTTTGGATATTTTATTGGAAAAGATTGGGATATTTGTGTAAGTTGGATTTTGGATATTTTATTGGAAAAGATTGGGATATTTGTGTAAGTTGGATGTTTGATATTTTATTAGCACGGTTTGGGATATTTGTGTAAGTTGGATTTTGGATATTTTAATGGGAAAGTTTGAGATATTTGTGTAAGTTGGATGTTTGATATTTTATTGGCACGGTTTAGGACACTTGTGAAAGCTGAATGTTATTTTATTGGCACGGATTGGGATGTTTGTGTAAGTTGGATTTTAGATGTTTAACTGTTGTGGACAAAAATATTTGTGAATGTTGACATTGATATGATATTTGTGACATTTATCGTTACAAATGATAATAATATTGTTGAATTTTGAAGTATGATTTTTTTGTTTGAATAATTTATTCTTATCAGAAGAATATTCTTGTAATAGATCTAATAATTTAAATAAAACTTTTATGTAAACTATTTATGAAATAAATCACGATATAAGCGAATGTAATTATTATTTTTATTTTTTCAAATTGTTTTCGTATTTACAAATAATTATTCCAGAAACATTTACAACGGGTCAAAAGATGATTTTTTTGTGGGATTATAAACGATAAGCAAACAACGTTTACTTTAAAATATAAAGAAACTTTCTATTGAATGTTTCTATCACTCAGCAGCCCGGGTCATATTGACCTCTCGTACGTCAGAGCTGACCTATCACCCAGTAGCCTGGGTCACAGAGACCTCTAGCACGTCAGCTGACACCTATCACCCAGTAGCCTGGGTCACAGAGACCTCTCGCACGTTAGAGCTGACCTATCACCCAGTCAGAGCTGACCTATCACCCAGTAGCCTAGGTCACAGAGACCTCTTGCACGTCAGAGCTGACCTATCACCCAGTAGCCTAGGTCACAGAGACCTCTAGCACGTCAGAGCTGACCTATCAGCCAGCAGCCTAGGTCACAGAGACCTCTAGCACGTCAGAGCTGACCTATCACCCAGTAGCCTAGGTCACAGAGACCTCTATCACGTCAGAGCTGACCTATCACCCAGTAGCCTAGGTCACAGAGACCTCTAGCACGTCAGAGCTGACCTATCACCCAGCAGCCTAGGTCACAGAGACCTCTAGCACGTCAGAGCTGACCTATCACCCAGTAGCCTAGGTCACAGAGACCTCTAGCACGTCAGAGCTGACCTATCACCCAGTAGCCTAGGTCACAGAGACCTCTAGCACGTCAGAGCTGACCTATCACCCAGTAGCCTAGGTCACAGAGACCTCTATCACGTCAGAGCTGACCTATCACCCAGTAGCCTAGGTCACAGAGACCTCTAGCACGTCAGAGCTGACCTATCAGCCAGCAGCCTAGGTCACAGAGACCTCTATCACGTCAGAGCTGACCTATCAGCCAGCAGCCTAGGTCACAGAGACCTCTCGCACGTTAGAGCTGACCTATCACCCAGTCAGAGCTGACCTATCACCCAGTAGCCTAGGTCACAGAGACCTCTCGTACGTCAGAGCTGACCTATCACCCAGTCAGAGCTGACCTATCACCCAGTAGCCTGGGTCACAGAGACCTCGCACGTGAGGGCCAACACACAGACTTGCACACAATTCTCAATGCCATACCTCTGCCAGTTCTTATCTCCCCGCTGATAACGACATGCGGAAGGCTCGGCATGACGCCAGTAAACACATTATGCCGCCTGATTGAAGGTAAGTAGCGCAGGTTTAATTAAACTAATAATTGTTTTACCTACACGCATGCTTTAATGTTCATATAGATTTTGGTATCTTATACATTAATATATAAATATATACACTGGGTACACACACATACACACACACACACACTATATATATATATATATATATATATATATATATATATATATATATATATATATATATATATATATATATATATTATATATATATATATATATATATATATATATATATATATATATATATATATATATATATATATATAGACTCCCCTCAACCCACCTTGTTCTAATGCTAGGGAGAGTAAAGGTAGTTGGGTAAACTGCTGATCATTCTATCCCTTCATATGCAGAGGTCATAGACACAGAAAAACTCTACTTCCTCTGCCGATCGACCGCCAGCTTAGAAAAAGTAAATTTACTTTTCAGACCTTCAAATATAAGCTGATTATAAACATGATAAGCTCAAATCTAAGCTGACTCTAAGCATCAAAACGTCAAGATTAAGTCTAGAGTTATGTCGCCAAACCAGTCAGCTAAAACTGGAACTAATAGTAGTCCACTGACAAAACAGAAATTAATAAGCTTTTTTCACCTGGTAAATTTCGAAAGAATTCAGGTAACATTTACTTGCAACAAGAGAGGCTGCTATGTCGTTTTTTTTTTAGATATGATCTAGAATTCAAAGCGCCTTGAATATTTTTAGCTGGAGGAGTTTCCAGCCTAAGTATACACTGAGTCTGTAGAAAAGATATTGTCCGAGTCTATGAGGGCTCTATGATATAATACTACACAGATACCTGTACAACATTTAAACATAGTTTCCATAGCAAAATGATCCACCCAATGGATGTCGTACATATAAAAACAAAAAACAACAACAATCGGGTTATTTGGTGGTTTATTATTTCGATGTATTATGTTTTTTTTAAATGCACCTATTTGTTGTTTTTTTTTTTGGTCTAAAGAAAAGATAAGCAATAGTGTAAAAGTTATTATAAAAAATAATAATTTTAAAGACTGCCTTTGTTGTTCACATTGATCTTGTAGTTCGATGATCTCGCTTCTGGATTAGTTATTTAATAATTTGTTAATTTGTTAACCTTGTATGCCTTATTAAACCAAACAGGCAACAAATAGAGTCCATCTATTTTTTTTAAAACCCAAGCACAATCTAGTTACTGTATGGTCAGCACTATAGTACGTTAATTTCTATTAATGGACTCCCAGGAAACATGCATAAAATCGAATTAATTGTATCACAAATTTAAATCAAATAACAATTTATAATATCTATTTTAAAATCTTTATATTATAGTTAACCCCGCTCTGTGGTCAAAGCCACGCTGTGGTCAACCCCCCTATGGTCAAACCCCCTATGGTCAAAGCTCCTCTATGGTCAAAGCTCCGCTGTGGTCAAACCCCCTATGGTCAAAGCCCCTCTGTGATCAAAGCCCCGCTGTGGTCAAACCCCCTATGGTCAAACCCCCTATGGTCAAACCCCTATGGTCAAAGCCCCGCTGTGGTCAAAACCCCTATGGTCAAACCTCCTATGGTCAAAGCACCTGTGGTCAAAGCACCTGTGGTCAAAGTACCTGTGGTCAAAGCACCTAGGACCATTCCTAGTGCACGTCCTGGTTAGTAAAACGCGTAAGTAATGTTTACAGTTGAATGTTTTCTACTCTATAGATAACGTACTAGCAAGTGACACTTCAACAATAAGACATGATTGATGTGAAATAGATCTGGTGACACGAGTTTTGTTCTAGTGCACTGTGTACGAACACAGATTCAATGCTAGTTCATATGTTAATTCATAATTTACACGTTGAGTACTATTTTTTAAATACATTTTGTATATGTTTTAAATAAACAACTACTCAATTACTATAATTTGTGTAATGATTGGTAGTGTTTAACCATTCATTTTTCTATGTGGAATACTAATTTGTCTGTCATATTGAAAACTTAAATATGTCCATAAATGCCATGATTTATTCAAAATCTCGATTCACTTGTCAACAGAACGATATTTTTTCCTACCCCAGTGTTGCATCTGCCATGTGGGAATATATATTAGACATGTAGATAACAACCAAGAATTCTAAAGCGAATATGACAGACAAATTAGTATTCCACACAGCAAAGTCTAGTTTTTCAGCAGAACAACGATAGTGAGTGACGAAATTTCACCATGAACATCTTTAAAACGATGCAAAGAAAAGCAAGAAAAAAATCATCGTGCGTTATCTTCGCGATCGTCTCCATCAACATTATCATCGTGTTTCTGCTGCAGACAAACTCCAGCCTAAGGCGAACATTCGAGAACACTTTTAGGTACCATCTCTCTCTTCATTCGGCTTTAGATGTTCACCAACCGGCAGGTAAATATCGAACTGACCAGCGTACATCTATCAGTGTAGATGAGTTCAGAGCAGGGGGGAAGACAGGGAACCCGCTGATAGACGGGTATGGGAGGAACAACCTGTCGGCCCCAGGGGAGATGGGGTTGGCTGTCAGACCCAGGGAGGACGAGAAAGACGAGGTGGACAAGGTCATGGCGGAATTCCATATCAACACCTTGGTCAGTGACCGGATACCACTCAACAGGATGGTGCCAGACTCACGCTTAAAGGGGTGGGTTGATTTTTAAATGTTTAATTGTCGTGTATGTCGATATTGATAATATTTTATATAACGCAATGTGTTCGCTTATCAAATGTTAGCTGTGAGCGAATACATTGATTGCTTTCCCCTACTTATCCCTTTAACAAAATCGAATTTCATTCAACAAAAACAAATAAAAGTTAATAGATGACATTACAAAATATGTTAAGTTAAAAACGTTTGATAAATAATAAAATTACATGAAATACATCGCAATATATACAGTTTTCATGCTTCATCGAAGAAGTTTAGTAAATCAACGAAACTTAATGCATCAATGGACAGGTGTGAGGACCTAGTTTACCGAACTGAAGACCTTCCTTCTGCCAGTATTATCATTCCCTTCTGTATCAATGGACAGGTGTGAATACCTAGTTTACCGAACTGAAGACCTTCCCTCTGCCAGTATTATCATTCCCTTCTGTATCAATGGACAGGTGTGAGGACCTAGTTTACCGAACTGAAGACCTTCCCTCTGCCAGTATTATCATTCCCTTCTGTATCAATGGACAGGTGTGAAGACCTAGTTTACCGGACTGAAGACCTTCCCTCTGCCAGTATTATCATTCCCTTCTGTATCACTGGACAGGTGTGAAGACCTAGTTTACCGAACTGAAGACCTTCCCTCTGCCAGTGTTATCATTCCCTTCTGTATCAATGAACAGGTGTGAGGACCTAGTTTACCGGACTGATGACCTTCCCTCTGCCAGTGTTATCATTCCCTTCTGTATCAATGGACAGGTGTGAGGACCTAGTTTACCGGACTGAAGACCTTCCCTCTGCCAGTATTATCATTCCCTTCTGTATCAATGGACAGGTGTGAAGACCTAGTTTACCGGACTGAAGACCTTCCCTCTGCCAGTGTTATCATTCCCTTCTGTATCAATGGACAGGTGTGAGGACCTAGTTTACCGGACTGAAGACCTTCCCTCTGCCAGTATTATCATTCCCTTCTGTATCAATGGACAGGTGTGAAGACCTAGTTTACCGGACTGAAGACCTTCCCTCTGCCAGTGTTATCATTCCCTTCTATGACGAGTGGCCCTCGGTCTTGATCAGGACCATCTACAGCGTCATTAACCGGAGTCCTAGACGCAATCTTCAGGAGATCCTACTCGTGGATGACGCCAGCACGTTGAGTGAGTAGTCGCTTCTTGTGGAGATCGTAAACACTACATAGCACGACATAGCACTACACATATGTTCAAAGCACTACATAGCACGACATAGCAGATGTTCATAGCACTACATAGTACTACATAGTACTATATAGTACTATATAGTACTATATAGCACTACATAGCACTACATAGCGTTACATAGAACTACATAGCACTACAAAGCATTTCATAGTACTACATAGCTTGATAGCTGCTGCACAATTTATGTCTAAGGTCAAAGATTGACCGTTCTCTGTAACTATTTCACGCGTTCTGTCTACGTTTGTGTCAACAGAATTATGTCTGTTGCGCCTCACTTAACCTAAGCACCAACTCAAACCTACAGCACTGCCATGAGCTATTTCCACCAGCAATTACATAACCATTCTTTTAACGACGTGTTGATATATATTGCACTGCACACGACTCCTTACATACCACAACTTAACGGTCAACAGTTCCAACTCTATTCGGGTATCTGTATCAGGCTGAGATCTAACCAATAACCCCCACAAATCATATGCCGTCTGCACACTATCATTACAGCCGGCTTAATGTTATTGTTTACTAAGCCATTAGTATCCGTTTCAAGACTTAAGGATTTAGTTACTGTATGAGTAATGCAACACTCAGCTTAGTAAAACAATGATACGTTTGTAATGGACACAAATAAGAATACTATCGAAATTATTCGAAAAGCTTATTGAGTATTTAAAAAAATTATATATAATTTTTTTAAAATAAATATAGTTATGAAAATCTGTTTGATTTTTGTTTAACAATACCTAAGACTGGGTATATTTCATTTTAAGTATTTTTGTATCTAATCAAAATATATTTTAAAAATCCAAAAATAACTTGTTTGTTTAAATTTTCGACAAAGTTTTGAAAACAAATTACTGTGAAGTGATGTTTTCAGAATATCGATTGCTAGTTACTGTACAGCCAACCACTTGTTGTCTTACGAATGTGAAACAACAATCTATAATTTAGGTTTTATGAAAATAAATAGAAATGTAACCTTAAACTAAAATGTTTTGGTGTGGGGTTTATTTATTTTCCAGAGGAATTGAAAGCACCGTTAGATCATTACATTCTTCGGGAATTCCCGCACGGTCTGGTGCGCATCAAACGTCTGCAGCAGCGCCGTGGGTTGACTCAAGCGAGGCTAGTCGGTTCAAGGGAGGCGATCGGGGATGTTTTGATCTTCTTTGATAGTCATATGGAGGTCAACATAGACTGGTGAGATGTGGGGTTGTCAGACATACGGATGTGGGGTTGTTAGACATATGGATGTAGGGTTGTCAGACATATGGATGTGGGGTTGTCAGACGTATGAATGTGGGGTTGTCAGACATATGGATGTGGGGTTGTCAGACATATGGTGAGACTTCGTTAGGTAGTGGATGTGGGGTTGTCAGACATATGGTGAGACTTAGGTAGTGGATGTGGGGTTGTCAAACATATGGTGAGACTTCGTTAGGTAGTGGATGTGGGGTTGTCAGACATATGGTGAGACTTCGTTAGGTAGTGGATGTGGGGTTGTCAGACATATGGAGGTGGGGTTGTCAGACATGGATGTGGGGTTGTCAGACATATGGTGAGACTCTTAGGTAGTGGATGTGGGGTTGTCAGACATATGGATGTGGGGTTGTCAGACATATGGATGTGGAGTTGTCAGACATATGGATGTGGGGTTGTCAGACATATGGATGTGGGGTTGTCAGACATATGGATGTGGGGTTGTTAGACATATGGATGTGGGGTTGTCAGACATATGGAAAGTGGGGTTGTCAGACATATGGAGGTGGGGTTGTCAGACATATGGATGTGGGGTTGTCAGACATATGGTGAGACAGGTAGGGGATGTGGGGTTGACAGGCATATGAAGGTAAGACTTCGTGAGGCAGTGGATGCTAGGATAAAACCAGTAGACTTCTTTTCACTGTGTTTATTAAAACCTCTGTCGTCAAAATGCCAAAGCAGAAGCGGTGAGCCGTAATAATGTATTGTTAGGTCGAAGGTTAAGGTTGTGACATTCCTTTGGTTTAGGTTAATATGTTTATGAATAATTCGACGATTTTCTCACGATTTTGTTTAAGGCTATGTGATGATATATTAGATTCCTGTTGTGATTTCTTCCTTTATTACAGTTCGTAATTCTTCCTGTTGCAGATATTTTAATTTCTCTCTTTTTCTCGCTAGGCTCCCGCCTCTACTTACAGAGATCTCCCAAGACAGAAGAGTGGTCGCCATGGCAACCTTGGATTACATCCAGTCAGACACCTTCATGTATAAATTCAACGTCAACTACCTCACTAGATACGGCTGGTCGTGGAACCTGCTCTTTTTTGAGACTTTTTTCAGGAGAGATCAGGTTAGCCCGGACGTCCTGGGACACCGCAAGTAAGTTGGTGCGACTCAGCAAGTAGCCGGTAAATCGTTACCATTGTAGTATTTGGTACGACTCAGCAAGTAGCCGGTATTTTGTTAATATTGTAGCATTTGAACAACGGACATCATCTTTTCCAGTGGCGTGACGATGGTGGGAACAGGGTTTGCTATAGACAGAACCTACTTCAAGGAAATTGGGGAATACGACAGCGACATGCAGATATGGGGAGGAGAGAACCTCGAGCTTTCATGGCGGGTATGTGGAGTACAGCAAGTTTATAACATGGCGGGTATGTGGAGTACAGTAGGTTTATATCATGGCGGGTATGTAGACTACATCAGGTTTATAACATGGCGGGTATGTAGACTACGGCAGGTTCATATCATGGCGGGTATGTAGACTACAGCAGGTTTATAACATGGCGGGTATGTAGACTACGGCAGGTTTATATCATGGCGGGTATGTAGACTACAGCAGATTTATATCATGGCGGGTATGTGGACTACAGCAGGTTTATATCATGGCGGGTATGTAGACTACAGCAGGTTTATAACATGGCGGGTATGTAGACTACGGCAGATTTATATCATGGCGGGTATGTGGACTACAGCAGGTTTATATCATGGCGGGTATGTAGACATGTAGACTACAACCTGGGATAGACAGGTTCAACTTTCTTCTTTACCAACAGAACAATTCTTGCATGAGTCATATTTCTTCTTATCTGGAAGAAGCTACCCACTATTCTATTTTCCAAAAAAAGCGTTAAAAAATGATTTCAAATTGACACCTTATTCACCATTTACCCCCAGGTGAAAAATAAAACGTTTCTTTCTAGGTGTGGTTATGTGGGGGTAGGTTACTGCACGCGCCCTGCTCCCGCATAGGTCACGTACCCAGAGTGCAACCCTACTCCTTCCCCGGGGGTAGGCCGTCGGTGTTGTTCCACAACTACAAGAGGGCTGCTAGTGTCTGGATGGGCAACTACACGAGATTTGTCTACAGCATCTTCCCGGAGATGCAGGTATTGACATACACTCTCCTTAAGGTGGTAGAGGTTCGGTTAACTTTAGGGTAGCTAGAACCTGTTTAAAGGTTCGGTTAACTTTAGGGTAGCTAGAACCTGTTTAAAGGTTCGGTTAACTTTAGGGTAGCTAGAACCTGTTTAAAGGTTCGGTTAACTTTAGGGTAGCTAGAACCTGTTTAAAGGTTCGGTTAACTTTAGGGTAGCTAGAACCTGTTTAAAGGTTCGGTTAACTTTAGGGTAGCTAGAATCTGTTTAAAGGTTCGGTTAACTTTAGGGTAGCTAGAACCTGTTTAAAGGTTCGGTTAACTTTAGGGTAGCTAGAACCTGTTTAAAGGTTCGGTTAACTTTAGGGTAGCTAGAACCTGTTTAAAGGTTCGGTTAACTTTAGGGTAGCTAGAATCTGTTTAAAGGTTCGGTTAACTTCAGGCTAGTTAGAACCTGTTTAAAGGTTCGGTTAACTTTAGGGTAGCTAGAACCTGTTTAAAGGTTCGGTTAACTTCAGGCTAGTTAGAATCTGTTTAAAGGTTCGTTTAACTTCAGGCTAGTTAGGATATGTTTACTTTAGTGAAAATAACGACGCTGTTGGTAGTAAAGAATTTTGGTGAAAGTAATTGCGCTTTATTTGGCTTTCAATCACGTGACACTGTTGGCATGTACACGTGACAGCTATTCACTAATCTATTTTTACACTAACAGCGTCAAAACTTATATTTTTAGAGCACTACCTATACACACAACTTCAGAGAAAAAAATTTATTAAATCAAATTGTAAGCTGAAATCCAACCCTCACAAACTAAAAATAAAGTATACTCGTAAGACTATAATCGCAAAACAAACGAAGTCGAATTTAATTTTTTTCCTTCATGCTCCGCTCTTCCATATTACGAGATTATAGGACCAGTATTTTTACAAGCCGCTTCTACTTTCCAAGACTTAAGTAACCATTGTTATCGTCACCCATCATATTTCTACTTTATCCATATTACGAGATTATAAGGCCAGTATTTTTACAAGCCGCTTCTACTTTCCAAAACTTAAGTAACCATTGTTATCATCACCCATCATATTTCTACTTTATCCATATTACGAGATTATAGGACCAGTATTTTTACAAGCCGCTTCTACTTTCCAAGACTTAAGTAACCATTGTTATCATCACCCATCAATTATGTAAATACCAGCTGATCAAAATACTGGGGGGAAAAACAACACATTATATTGTAACATTTTTTAAATGTATTTTGATTATATGTTTCTTATACGAGACATTAGATGTTGGTGACTTAAGTGAGAGACTGGCCCTGAAAACAAAACTTGGATGTAAAGATTTTAGTTGGTATCTTCAGAACATTTGGCCAGAGTTGAATGTCTATGATGAGAACGTTATTGTATGGGGACAGGTATGTTAGATAATAAACAAATTTCCTAATTCATATAATTGTACTGCAGTCTTTAAAATACGGTTAACTATACGTGTTTCGTTGTTTAAAATTTATTAGTATTAGAATGAAGAATTTTTAATTGTTTAGTTTCTGACACGTAAGCATGCATTTAAAATATCAGCTTTTAACTGTATAAAATGTACTATAAATAAATTCTAACACTAATTGATGGAATGTTTTTCAACATTTTTACATCGATAAAACAGGTGTTTTTTTTTACCTGTCAACCAGGTGAAAAATGTGGCTGAATCACTTTGTCTGGACAACAATGGCCATCTCTTTCAGCAACGTCAAGATCTCTTCTTGAACCGCTGCAAAGGATCGATAAACATGCAGGTGGAATGATTGATTGATTAACTCTTTTGTCGGGGTCAGAAAAACATTCATCTAGTCGGCGTAGGACGGAAGGGATCAGATTAATGATCATTACGTTGTTTTGATCTGTCAGAACAGGAGAATCGATTTTGAGGCGAAGCGTATTTTAATATCATTTCAAAACTATACATTTCCGCTGCAGAAAATGTAACACGTTTTAGATCAATTTTAAATCTTTAAAAAAAAATACTAGACCACCGATTATCCTTTGGATAACCATGATTTTAGGTGTCATTCATAAATGACATCACGCTTAATTAACGACTTTTATCTTCCCCCTCGGATTTATTGAAAATTGATAATAGTGTTGGAACCTAATAAAAACAACAAACAGAAATACCCTTTAAGCTATAGCCGACTGAAAGTGTAGCTATATTATAAATCATAATGCGTTAAACTTTTTTACCGGCAACGCAACCTATTTCCATGGTAGCTATGTTTTGAAAATTCAAGCATTTGTTCTAAAGTTGTATAATTAAATGCAACATTATATATACTAGGCATGCTGCCCAGCTTTGCTTAGGCTTTCGAAAACATTGAGTATTTGAATGCTTAATTAATTCGCCCGAGGGTCGGTCTACGACCTCAGGAGTTATGAAGAGGTTCCTCCGTGGACATTTTTTTTCGATTTATAGCTCATATAAGGCGCCGGTCAGTCGAGGTCAGTTTTGACCCCATCATCGTAGACTTTTCGGCCAACCGGCCCCCGTGTTCTGTCGCCCCAAGGCAAGATCCTGCCAAATTTGAAGCGCCTGCGGCGCCGTGAAGTGCCCCATCGGGCACCCGACAACTTTGCTTTATATATTACAGAGATTAGCAAATAGCATAGATAAACAAAGATTTCTATAAAGTAATTAAGGCCCGAAATACTTTAGTATAGAAATGTAATATTTGAATAGATGAATCTAGAATATCTAGATCTAGAATCCAAATAAATAAAATAAATTTTATGAGTTTAGGCCGGAAAAATTGTATTGTATACATTTCATAGTGTACGTAGATCTAAATCAAATTTGAATGAAATAGTTCATTTCTTTTTATTCTAAACACGGCAGATGACGTCATTAGTTAATGTATAAGCAATAGTGACGTCACAGTTTTATGCGTTCTTTTTCACATCTATTAATGCTTTTCCGTTTGCATAAATAATACTGTTTCTCTACATTCGAATACGCCTTTAATTTTTATTTTTCTTCTTTAAATAAAATTGTGGTTATACATTTAAAACATCTAACATATTATTTTCAACAAAAGTCCGTATAAAGTTCTCCATATATCGCTGCCGTTTCTGACGTGATGTCCGGCGAAAATATTTTGCGGACAGAGAGAGAGAGAGAGAGAGAGAGAGAGAGAGAGAGAGAAGTGCGCACATGGGGAATTATATATTAGGATATATATATATATATATATATATATATATATATATATATATATATATATATATATATATATATATATATATATATATATATATATATATATATATATATACATATATATATATAGGCTATATATAGGCTATATATATAGGCTATATATATATATACATATATATATACATATATATTCTTAATTTAATTTAAATCTTTAAATAAATGTGTGCATAATGTATTTCGAAAAAATAAAAAAAAATTTCTTTAGATAAATATGTATTTAAAATTCAACACATAGTGCAGATGCTCTAATAAAGCTGTATCTACAAAAAAAAATATTTACAAACTCTTGAGTGAAATTCTGATAAACAATATTCTTTTGAGGAAATTGTCTTTTGAATACATGGGTTTTAATGATAAGGTTTTTCGATGACAAGGCTTTTGAGGATTTTGTCTTTCGTTGCTATTGCCTTCTTATGGTCTGATGAAATAGTAATGTGAAGGCATATGTGTTTTGAAGATGTAGTATTCTGACACTACGGTCTCTACACAAATCGGTCCTTCAACAGTTTTTTTTCTCATGCCTTATAAGGGATTTTCCCTCACCTCTCATGGACTACTGAGGACTACCCTCCAGTGTGCTGTTGGCCATGAATCGAACATCACGTCATACGTACAGATTGAAGACTGCATCATTGGGTCACGTGATATATGGTCTTACACTCAGGTAAATACAGACACTCAAATTCAGGTCTGAATCAGTCTTGTATATATATATATATATATATATATATATATATATATATATATATATATATATATATATATATATATATATATATATATATATATATATATATATATATATATATATATATATATATATATTTATATATATATATTAGGTTAATTAATTCCATAATTTACTTAAAAACATTCAAAATATAATAGTTCTAGTTAATGAGTGAAAGATTTATGGCCTAAAAATGAGAAAGAAGTGTTTCTTGCTTATAAAATCAAAAGTTGTCAATTATTAATTAATCATTAGGTATTTAGTGTGAGATATTTAAAGAACCTAATACAAAATTATAAATAAATGGAGAATAAAATATGTATCTGGACAAATCAAAAGATAATGTCATTATCTCTCTATTTAACAAGCTCAATGGCTGATTGTATTATCTCTCTCTATTCAACAAGAATCAACGTCTGGTGCACGTGAGGTCTGGACTGTGCCTGGACATCGACCAGAGACGTCCAGTCTTACGTGGTTGTCATAGCAACATCAACACACAGGAGTGGACATTTCAGCCTTATATCTTCACATAATGTCGTCAGTATAGTATATAAACACGTGGACAATTCAACTTTATGTGTTGACATAATGTCGTCAGTATAGTATATAAACAAGTGGACAATTCAATCTTATGTTTTCACATAATGTCGTCAGTATAATATATAGACAACTTTAAGAAAATATAGCAGTGGACATTTCAACCTTGTGTGTTCATATAATGTCGTCAGTATAGTATATAAACAAGTGGACATTTTTACTTTCAGAAAATAGGACAGTGGACATTTCAACCTTATATGTTGACATAATGTCGCCAGTATTGTATATAAACAAGTGGACATTCTAACTTCAAGAAAATACGGGAGTGGACATTTCAACCATATAAATGTGTGTTCACATAATGTTGTCAGTATAGTATATCATCAACAGGTGGACAATCATTCTAGCTTAAAGAAAATATGGTAGTGGTAGGGACATTTCAACCATATAAGTTCACATAATGTCGCCAGTATTGTATAAAACAAGTAGGCATTTTGACTTAAAGAAAATATTGCAGTGGACATTTTAACCTTTTGAATTGATATAATGTAGTCAATATAGGTACAAACTAGTCAATATTTTCAACCTTTGGGCTAAGCTGATGTAATTTCGATATCAACCCACATGAAAACACAAGTCAGCAAAACCTGACCCATTGAATACAACATTTTAGCTTTGCGTGTTAAGTTTATATCGTCCTCACGATAATATACACACATAGGAAGATATCTTTTAATCATTAATATGTCATTTTAACTGAGGTGTGTACATTCAAACGTTCTGAAAAATATTTTTACGTGAAGACATTCTGCTAAAGTAAAATATGAATAAACAACGAGTATATTGCTTATATTTATTTGACCATGATATATTTTTGTGTCTATTGTGTTATTATATGAGAAACTAATTCATCGTATTTTTATAGACTTGCTACTTGTCCGATATTTTTTGTCCATATCATTTGTCCTAAAATATTTTGTCGTGATATCTGTTGTCCTAAGATCATTTGTCCTGAGATCATTTGTCCTGAGATCATTTGTCCTGAGATCATTTGTCCTGAGATCATTTTCCTCAGATCATTTTCCTGAGATCATTTGTCTTGAGCTGAGATAATTTGTAATGGAACCGAAAAACACAACTACAAGAGTAAAAGAAATCACATGAGACATCATTGTAGTTGAATCTATCGCATGAAGAAACAAGCATCACAAATAGACATCAAATGTGTTCCATATACATGAAACATCATTGTAGTTGAATCTCTCGCATGAAGAAACAAACAAGCATCACAAATAAACATCAAATATGTTCCATATACATGAAACATCATTGTAGTTGAATCTCTCGCATGAAGAAACAAGCAGCACAAATAGACATCAAATGTGTTCCATATACATGAAACATCATTGTAGCTGAATCTCTCGCATGAAGAAACAAGCATCACAAATAGACATCAAATGTGTTCCATATAACCATTTTATAACCCCCAACAGGCCCTGCAGCTTTACACTGACCAAAGTTAGACAACTCTTTTATTATTTTGTTTAGCGTTATTCATTAACGGTTATTGTTCCTGAGTCTAATTGCGCTTGTCATTTTGTTGGCCTGACAACCGTAATAATTTAATAAAGTGGAGCTGCGTTATAAACATTATTCATAGGGTTTACATCTATTACTTGATGATGATTTCGTAAAAAATTTTAAGTCAGTAGAAACTGAACAAAGATTTTGAATTTATGCTTACATTTTCATTATTAAAGGGAAGCAACTCTTAAACTACGGGATATTTTATTCCTGAATATTTTTGGGTTACTCTGTCTTTCGCTGGAATTTAATTCTAATTTTCTTTTCTTGTTATACTAAATTTAAATATTAAATATTACAAATATCAATTGAAATTTGATTTGCTAAATTCCAAAGTTAGCCATACTGGTGCTGGTATTTTTTTTTAGTATTTAAAAATACTTGTAGTGAGTCAGGCTCAATTGTTTCACTCTCCCATATTTAGCATCACCCAGTTTTTGATTAAAGTACCTGAAACTGGTTAAAATCCATGAGATTTTCGAAGATTAGTTTGGACTAACTTATTTTACTTGCTATCTTCTCTCCGCAGAGCAGTGAATCACTATCTAATTTCACATTTCAGGTTTAAAAATAAAGTGGAAATTAGACGACTTATATTATGTTTAAGTAAATTATCTGTAACGAATGAAAGCACATGCCAGAAAGAAGTACTGCTATTGTAAATTTTTATCAGTCCTCACAAGCCGGTGATGAAACATGTGATACTACAGCGAACACGGCAAGGCACTGCTTTAGTTAGTGAACTTACCTATGGGCATATTTCAACATAACAAAATGCATTATTTTTTAAAACTAGATTTTTAAAAATTATTATTTAGTTTTAAAATTAATTTTTTTTTAGAAATACAGCATGTTTTCGATCATAAAAATATGAACTTGTATGAGTTACTTGTCACACTATACCCAATTTAAAAATCTTTGAACTATAATGCAAATATGAGATCATGATACAAATGTTTAAGATTGAGAGTTGGTTTGTTGTAAACTCAAATTGTATTAAGATGGAATCTTGACACATAGTGATTGGCCATACCCAAACTGGGAGTTAGAGATGGGGAAATCGGTAAGTGGCTAAATAGCTTCAATCTAAACATTTACTTAGAGATTAACCAAATAAAACATTGATCGGATAGAATCTGTTACAATACATGAACCCTGGTTAATATTATCCGTTTAGGTTAGGATAGGCCCAGGCAGTGGCGTAGCGAGGTCGGGTGTCACCCGGTGCGGCACTTAATGGTGTCACCCTCCCAGAGGCGTTGCGACCCTTCCCGGGGACAAACTTCCAAGTTTTCGATTTGCATCCCACCCCCCCCCCCCCCTCAAACTTTCGATTTGCACCCCCCCCCCATCAACCTTTCGATTTGCACCCCCCCCCCTCAAGTTTTTCTCTATATATGTTGCTATTTTTTGCCTTGGTGTCACCCCCCTAAATGGTGTCACCCGGTGCGGTCCGCACCCCCGCCCCCCCCCTCGCTACGCCCCTGGGCCCAGGCTAGGTAATTTCACGTTGTTATATATGTGAGAATTTAGGATATAGTGAATTTATAAGTTAAGCTGGCTAAATAAATATTAGTGCTACTCTAAAATGTGCTTTCATTTGATTTATTTTTATGAAATCAAGCCTCTTATCGGGTTTATTGATTGCTAATCGGCATTAAACTTTTGAAGGAAGTTTTAACACTTGAAACATCTGTCCAGCCTACTTAATTTTTTTGCTGACATATTTTGAAAAAATCAATGAGGTTTTAGCATAAATCTGCATCTGAACCTACAAATTGTGTACATTAGTTTTTCACCGGACAGTTCGTTTATTAGAAACAGTTTTGTAGATTTTATATTGCCACGTGCTGAACTGAAGTAGGAGGTTTTGTTTATGTTAGGCTTGTTGTGATTTAAAACATTTAGTTTAGTTTAGCTTTGCTAAAGCGATATTTGTGTTCGGACTATTTGCCTACGTTTTGCTTTGTTTTACAGTCAGTAATTGAAAGTAAAAACTAGATATCCATTAATGGGAAATTCGTTAACGAAGGACTTATACGTGGTGCTGTAATTTAGAAATTTTTAAAGTGATTTACGTTTAAAATGAACTTATAAAGTAGCAGTTTTGTTAATGTGTTAATTACGAATTTTACTTGAAGCTATAGAATATTTTAATTCGTAATTTGTTAAAGAAAACATGTCAAAAGAATACTTAAAAAGTAGATTTAAGTTTCATAAACAGTAAAGAAAAATCTGTTAAATAAGGGCAAATAAAATATTTATGTTTTGACAATTCTGTTATTTGTATTCAAAGCATATATAAACCGTGGTCGAGACAATGAATTCTGGGATATTAGGTAGAGTCCCGCGGCTGATTGTGTGGTTGTTAGCGGCGTCAGCTGTCGCAGTGATTGTTGTGAACATTTTCCTGTACCGGTATGTGGACTACAGGCTGGTGTTAAACCAGCGAGACAACACACAGGATCTACAGGTTCACACCAACCAATCGATGTTAGGCAGTAGTGACGTTTTGTTACAGAGTAATGAGGATTTGTTACGCAGTAGTCAGGTGATGTTACGAAGTAAGGAGGTGGAGTTACAGAACGGTGAAGTGACAAGAGAACGTGAGCGTTTTCATGCAAGGGAGATCAACGCTTCGGCCAACACCACAATAGAGAACACATGTATAACCAAGATAACTCTAACTGAGTTCTGGGCGGGCAGCAAGACCGGCAACTCTCTCATCGACGAGTACGGGAATAACAACGTGTCGGTGGATGGTGAGATGGGAGGGGAGGTCAAGGTCAAGCCGCAGGAGAAGGCAGAGGTCAAGAGTGCGATGGAGGAATACCATGTCAACACGATAGCCAGTGATAGGATTCCTCTCAACCGTTTAGTTCCAGACTCGCGGCCTGCCGGGTCAGTTGGAGAAAAGTTGTATGCATGTGTTATATATATATATATATATATATATATATATATATATATATATATATATATATATATATATATATATATATAAGCATACATATTTTTATACATGACTATATTTTAAAAGCCTCTTATAATTCAAGCCAAAAAGAGCATTATTTTTTTAAAAATAGATTACGTAGATAACTCATCGCTTAAAAACAACATATAGGCTCTATACAACAAGGCAAATTAATGTGAAAATTGTTTATCGCCAGTTGCCAGAATGTCAAGTACGCCACAGAAAATCTGCCCACTGTGTCTGTCATCATCCCATTCCACAACGAGTGGCCGTCCTTGTTGCTGCGTACTGTATACAGCGTCATCAACCGGTCTCCTAGACACAGCATCAGAGAGATCCTGTTGGTAGATGACGGCAGCACTCTAGGTCTGTAGCACATAGGTCTATAACTCTGTAACACGTAGGTCTATAACATATAGCTCTGTGGCACGTAGGTCTATATAAGTTCTGTAACACGTAGGTCGATAACTTATAGGTCTGTAGCACGTAGGACTATAACATATAGGTTTGTGGTAGGTCTATAACTCTGTAACACGTAGGTCTATAACATATAGGTCTGTAATACGTAGGTCTATGATATATAGGTGTATGACACGTATGTCTAAATGTCTTTAGCACGCAGGTATATAACAAGCAGATCTAAAGTATGTATGTCTATAGCACATAATAAATTAATAAATGTTTAGCATCAATGCCTCCACGACTAGAGTCAGGTACCCATCAGAGCTGAGTGAACTCACTGAGAACCAGGTGTTTTACAACGCTACAACAAGGTTCAAGCCAAATAAAAAATTTAATTGAATAGGAATCAGCTTGAACAAATTTATTTGATTTTTAGATGAACTGAAGGACGAACTGGAACGATACATCTGTCAGCATTTCCCAGCGGGTCTAGTAAAGGTAGTGCGCATGTCTGAACGTGGAGGTCTTATAAAAGCACGCATGCGCGGCTGTAAGGAGTCCAAGGGTGAAGTTCTGGTGTTTTTTGATAGTCACGTGGAAGTTAACATAGGCTGGTACGTTAACATTGAGTGGTCAGTTAACATTGAGTGGCCAGTTTACATTGAGTGGTTAGTTAACGTTGAGTTTGTCAGTTAACATTGAATGGTTAGTTAACATTGAGTGGTCAGTTAATATTGGGTGGTCAGTTAACATTGAGTGGTCAGTTAACATTGAGTGGTCAGTTAATATTGGGTGGTCAGTTAACATTGAGTGGTCAGTTAACATTGAGTGGTCAGTTAACATGGAGTGGTCAGTTAACATTGAGTGGTCAGTTAACATTGAGTGGTCAGTTAACATTGAGTGGTCAGTTAACATTGAGTGGTCAGTTAATATTGAGTGGCCAGTTAACAAAGCGTGGTCAGTTAACAAAGAGTGGTCAGTTAACAAAGCGTGTTCAGTTAACATTGAGTGGTCAGCTAACATTGAGTGGTCAGTTAACAAAGAGTGGTCAGTTAACAAAGCGTGGTCAGTTAACAAAGCGTGGTCAGTTAACAAAGCGTGGTCAGTTAACAAAGCGTGGTCAGTTAACAAAGCGTGGTCAGTTAACAAAGCGTGGTCAGTTAACTTTGAGTGGTCAGTTAACATGACCAACCCACCCATCTCCAGGCTCCAGCCGCTGCTCTCAGAGATAACCAAAGACAGGCGTGTGGTGGCGATGTCCACACTGGACTACATCCACAAGGAGACCTTCAAGTACAGGTACACCAGCGACGTGTACTACGGCTGGGACTGGTCACTGCTGTTTTTTGAGAGGAAGTTCCGGGCTGACCAGACTGCAGGGGACTTAACTCGGCCAGTAAAGTAAAATAGTTTGATGTATTTTTTTCTCCCATTTAATACGTTACTACACGAACTTTGTGAGACAAAGAGATAAAAAAAAATGTACTGATGTTTCAGCGGCGTCACCATGGTCGGGTCGTGTTTTGCTGTAGACAAGCGATACTTTCTGGAGCTGGGTGGGTATGACGACAGGATGTTGGTCTGGGGCGGAGAGAACTTTGAAATGACCTGGAGGGTGAGTTGAGAGGTGGGCTACATTGGTAGGGGATACAAGGGAGAGGTGGGGCTACATTGGTAGGGGATACAAGGGAGAGGTGGGGCTACATTGGTAGGTGATACAAGGGAGAGGTGGGGCTACATTGGTATGGGATACAATACGGGAGAGGTGGGGCTACATTGGTATGGGATACACGGGAGAGGTGGGGCTACATTGGTATGGGATACACGGGAGAGGTTGGGCTACATTGGTAGGGGGTACAATATGGGAGAGGTGGGGCTACATTGGTATGGGATACACGGGAGAGGTGGGGGCTACATTGGTAAAGGATATAATATGGGAGAGGTGGGGCTACATTGGTATGGTATACAAGGGAGAGGTGGGGCTACATTGGAAGGGGATACACGGGAGAGGTGGGGCTACATTGGTAAAGGATACAATATGGGAGAGGTGGGGCTACATTGGTATGGTATACAAGGGAGAGGTGGGGCTACATTGGTATGGGATACAAGGGAGAGGTGGGGCTACATTGGAAGGGGATACAGGATGGGATAGGTGGGGCTACATGGGTATGGGATACAAGGGAGAGGTGGGGCTACATTGGTATGGGATACAAGGGAGAGGTGGGGCTACATTTGTATGGGATACAAGGGAGAGGTGGGGCTACATTGGTATGGGATACACGGGAGAGGTTGGGCTACATTGGTAGGGGGTACAATATGGGAGAGGTGGGGCTACATTGGTATGGGATACACGGGAGAGGTGGGGCTACATTGGTAAAGGATATAATATGGGAGAGGTGGGGCTACATTGGTATGGTATACAAGGGAGAGGTGGGGCTACATTGGAAGGGGATACACGGGAGAGGTGGGGCTACATTGGTAAAGGATACAATATGGGAGAGGTGGGGCTACATTGGTATGGTATACAAGGGAGAGGTGGGGCTACATTGGTAGGTGATACAAGGGAGAGGTGGGGCTACATTGGTAGGGGATACACGGGAGAGGCTGGGCTACATTGGTATGGGATACAAGGGAGAGGTGGGGTTACTTTGGTATGGGATACAAGGGGCGTGTCAATCGGACGTGTACACTTAATGCTAAATTTCCAATCTATAATTCAGGTGTGGATGTGTGGAGGGAGACTCCTGCATGCTCCCTGTTCTAGAGTAGGTCACGTGGCACGAGGACAGCCGTACACGTTCCCAGGTGGAAGAACACAAATAGAACATTACAACTACAAGAGGGCAGCCCTCGTCTGGATGGGCAACTACACCAGGTTTCTATACAGCATTTATCCTGATATGAAGGTAAGATGGGCAACTACACCAGGTTTCTGTACAGCATCTATCCTGATATGAAGGTAAGATGGGCAACTACACCAGGTTTTTCTACAGCATCTATCCTGATATGAAGGTAAGATGGGCAACTACACCAGGTTTCTGTACAGCATCTATCCTGATATGAAGGTAAGATGGGCAACTACACCAGGTTTCTGTACAGCATCTATCCTGATATGAAGGTAAGATGGGCAACTACACCAGGTTTCTGTACAGCATCTATCCTGATATGAAGGTAAGATGGGCAACTACACCAGGTTTCTGTACAGCATCTATCCTAATATGAAGGTAAGATGGGCAACTACACCAGGTTTCTGTACAGCATCTATCCTGATATGAAGGTAAGATGGGCAACTACACCAGGTTTCTGTACAGCATCTATCCTGATATAAAGGTAAGATGGGCAACTACACCAGGTTTCTGTACAGCATCTATCCTGATATGAAGGTAAGATGGGCAACTACACCAGGTTTCTGTACAGCATCTATCCTGATATAAAGGTAAGATGGGCAACTACACCAGGTTTCTGTACAGCATCTATCCTGATATGAAGGTAAGATGGGCAACTACACCAGGTTTCTGTACAGTATCTATCCTGATATAAAGGTAAGATGGGCAACTACACCAGGTTTCTGTACAGCATCTATCATGATATGAAGGTAAGATGGGCAACTACACCAGGTTTCTGTACAGCATCTATCCTGATATGAAGGTAAGATGGGCAACTACACTAGGTTTCTGTACAGCATCTATCCTGATATGAAGGTAAGATGGGCAACTACACCAGGTTTCTGTACAGCATCTATCCTGATATGAAGGTAAGATGGGCAACTACACTAGGTTTCTGTACAGCATCTATCCTGATATGAAGGTAAGATGGGCAACTACACCAGGTTTCTGTACAGCATCTATCCTAATATGAAGGTAAGATGGGCAACTACACCAGGTTTCTGTACAGCATCTATCCTGATATGAAGGTAAGATGGGCAACTACACCAGGTTTCTGTACAGCATCTATCCTGATATAAAGGTAAGATGGGCAACTACACCAGGTTTCTGTACAGCATCTATCCTGATATGAAGGTAAGATGGGCAACTACACCAGGTTTCTGTACAGCATCTATCCTGATATAAAGGTAAGATGGGCAACTACACCAGGTTTCTGTACAGCATCTATCCTGATATGAAGGTAAGATGGGCAACTACACCAGGTTTCTGTACAGTATCTATCCTGATATAAAGGTAAGATGGGCAACTACACCAGGTTTCTGTACAGCATCTATCATGATATGAAGGTAAGATGGGCAACTACACCAGGTTTCTGTACAGCATCTATCCTGATATGAAGGTAAGATGGGCAACTACACTAGGTTTCTGTACAGCATCTATCCTGATATGAAGGTAAGATGGGCAACTACACCAGGTTTCTGTACAGCATCTATCCTGATATGAAGGTAAGATGGGCAACTACACTAGGTTTCTGTACAGCATCTATCCTGATATGAAGGTAAGATGGGCAACTACACCAGGTTTCTGTACAGCATCTATCCTGATATGAAGGTAAGATGGGCAACTACACCAGGTTTCTGTACAGCATCTATCATGATATGAAGGTAAGATGGGCAACTACACCAGGTTTCTGTACAGCATCTATCCTGATATGAAGGTAAGATGGGCAACTACACCAGGTTTCTGTACAGCATCTATCATGATATGAAGGTAAGATGGGCAACTACACCAGGTTTCTGTACAGCATCTATCCTGATATGAAGGTAAGATGGGCAACTACACCAGGTTTCTGTACAGCATCTATCCTGATATGAAGGTAAGATGGGCAACTACACCAGGTTTCTGTACAGCATCTATCCTGATATGAGGGTATTTGGTTTTAAATATTATAACGAGAATTAGGCATGCATTTAAACATCATGTTGACCAGCTTCCAATATTTATTGAGTGGTTATGTTTAGAAATTGACCTTTTTTCCTCGCATTCCATAATTGTAATGAAGTATTTTCTTGATCTTTTATTCCATGTATTGTTTTAATTAGACATTAGATGTTGGTGACGTAAGTGAGAGACTGGCCCTGAAAACAAAACTTGGATGTAAAGATTTTAGTTGGTATCTTCAGAACATTTGGCCAGAGTTGAATGTCTATGATGAGAACGCTACACTATGGGGACAGGTTGGAAACCTTTTCTTGTAGACACACACACAAATAGTATATATATATATATATATATATATATATATATATATATATATATATATATATATATATATATATATATATATATATGTATATATATATATATATATATATATATATATATATATATATATATATATATATATATATATATATATATATATATATATGATGTAACAATCAGTTGAAGAACGAGGGTAACTCACTGTGTCTAGACAATAGAGGATTAATGATGGCGAAAAACCTGCCGATTTACCTGAACCCGTGTTCCAAAGATTTCCTCAAGCAGGTAAATCAAAGCTCTTCACATTATCTAGCCCTTCCTTGTAAATCTGTACTCCTATAAATCTCCTCTTCACATTCTCTAGCCCTTCCTTGTAAATCTGTGCTCCTATAAATCTCCTCTTCACATTCTCTAGCCCTTCCTTGTAAATCTGTGTTCCTTCAAATCTCTTCTTCACATTATCTAGCCCTTCCTTGTAAATCTGTGTTCGTTCAAATCTCTTCTTCACATTATCTAGCCCTTCCTTGTAAATCTGTGTTCGTTCGAATCTCTTCTTCACATTTTCTAGCCCTTCCTTATAAATCTGTGTTCCTTCAAATCTCTTCTTCACATTCTTTAGCCCTTCCTTGTAAATCTGTGTTCCTTCAAATCTCTTCTTCACATTATCTAGCCCTTCCTGGTAAATCTGTGTTCCTTCAAATATCTTCTTCACATTCTCTAGCCCTTCCTTGTAAATCTGTGTTCCTTCAAATCTCTTCTTCACATTATCTAGCCCTTCCTTGTAAATCTGTGTTCGTTCAAATCTCTTCACATTCTCTAGCCCTTACTTGTAAATCTGTGTTCCTTCAAATCTCTTCTTCACATTATCTAGCCCTTCCTTGTAAATCTGTGTTCCTTCAAATCTCTTCTTCACATTCTCTAGCCCTTCCTTGTAAATCTGTGCTCCTTCAAATCTCTTCTTCACATTCTCCAGCCCTTCCTTGTAAATCTGTGCTCCTACAAATATTTTCTTCACATTCTCTAGCCCTTCCTTGTAAATCTGTGTTCTTTCAAATCTCTTCTTCACATTCTCTAGCCCTTCCTTGTAAATCTGTGTTCGTTCAAGTCTCTTCTTCACATTATCTAGCCCTTCCTTGTAAATATGTGTCCCTTCAAATATCTTCTTCACATTCTCTAGACCTTCCTTGTAAATCTGTGCTCCTTCAAATCTCTTCTTCACATTTTCTATCCCTTCCTTGTAAATCTGTGTTCCTTCAAATCTCTTCTTCACATTCTCTAGCCCTTCCTTATAAATATGTGTCCCTTCAAATCTTTTTCACATTCTCTAGCCATTCCTTGTAAATCTGTGTTCTTTCAAATCTCTTCTTCACATTCTCTAGCCCTTCTCTCTCAGCGTCACGTGATCCTAATACCATAAGTAAACATAGAAGTAAAATCTCCACCCACATTCAACCGTAATCAGATCGATATTTGCCATTGTTAGGGGTTTACCCTGACAAACAACGGCCGTCTCAAGACAACTTTGCAGTGTATTGTAGTGGAGGAGGGAGACTTGACGACTGACAGCTGTGCGTACGGTTACCAGGATTACTGGGCTTATAATACGGTAATTTGTTTGTTTACAAATATGTAAAGCAGTGGTAGGTAAAAAGTACGAAAAAACATATTTGAAATCGAAGGAGTTAAATAGTTAATTCATTACATGCTAGCTACAAAAATCCCGAGTTAAAGTCCTACGCAATCAATGCTCATTAGCTGGGGAAGTAACCCATCCAGGAGAAAAAAATTCAAATTAAAAAAAAAACTGCCGCTATGCAGATTGTTCTTGGGTAGACAATGACTATGGAAGCGAATCCAAAAAGAAAAGCAGGCTGAAATCGGAGTCAATGGGTCATCGATGGGGCCATTCATAAATGACGTCACGCTTTTTTGGACGGTTTTTACCTCCCCCCCGGTCCCCTCCGTCATACTTCATCACCCCCCCCCCCCCCCCACCCTCCCTGAAATGATGTCACAACTCAGCCTACAACTCCCTCAAAATTCCATTTGAATATTTCGTAAAACATCGATATTTTTCCGAATTTTTTGTCTGAACTCTGTATTTTTATCAATTTCTAATACGATGTATTAAAACAGTTTTCTAAAACGCGAAATAACGGCAAAAATATATTTTCTAACATTTTTTTTAAAATAAAAAAACGTGTGAAGTCACACCATCTAAACCCCCCCCCCCCCCCCCCATACCCCTCATCACACCGACACAAAATTACGGACCCCCCCCCCCACTCCCCACTTGGAGTGTGGCGTCATTTATGGACTACCCCTATGGTACATTAACGTTTACACGTTATAGGCCTAGTTAATCTTTGGAGAAATCCCGAAAACCCTCTCCAATATTACAATTCGTAACGCAGAAGAATTAATAACAGTGATTGTCTCTATAAAAACTAGGAATTGAAATTTGATTGACAATTTTATTTTCCTATTTAGTTCCTCTGTTATGTGTTTAGCTTCTGACCAATGGTGATAGACCCTGTAGGTTATAACTCTTTGGCGAGTGAAGAGTAGGAAGGGGGAAAGACTCTACATTCACTGCACACCTCTTGGGAGACTACTTAACATTGTGATTTCCGTCAACAGTAGCTACTCATTAACGTTATAATTTCGTTAACTAATAGTATCAATATTATTCTTAGTTCACTTTTATATTATTCCTAACCCCTGTTGATAATAACTCAGTGTTTCTTGCCGAATTTTTTTCCCGGGGGGGGGGGGGGTCTACATTTTCGGGGGGGGGGGGGGGCGGATACTGGTAAAAGTATATATTTTCTATATGAATCCCATTTCGTTCGGGGGGGGGGGGGCGGTAGACTTTCTTCGGGTGGGGGAGGGGGGGGGGGCGGTAGACTTTCTTCGGGTGGGGGAGGGGGGGGGGGTCCGCCCCGCCGAAGAGATGCCTGGAAGAAACTCTGCCTGCACTCAGTTATACTATTAATAACTATAGTGGTATTCAATGTTGTGTTCCCAGGAGAGACAACTGGTGCATGTCAAATCTCAGCGTTGTATGGAGGTCCAACACAATCGACCAGAGTTATCTCCCTGCAATAGCACAAGTCTAACACAAAAATGGAGTTTCCTGCCCTTCAATCTCAACTAGTTATCAGGCAGCCAATCAAAAGAAGTAGCTGGACACACGCAAAGTCGTGTACATTAAATATGACTGATAGTGGTTTATATTGATTACCATAACGTATTCGACTATCAAGTATTGACAAGTAAAGGCGTATAATTTATATGAATTACAGTGACATAGTCAATTACCAAATATGTCTGATAGTGGTTTACAGTGATTACCCTGACGTATTCGAGTATCAAGTATCGACAGGTAAATGCGTAAATGAATTACAGTGACATAGTCGAGTAACACATATGATTGATAGTGGTTTACAGTGATTACCCGTGACGTATTGGAGTATTAAGTATCGACAAGTAAAGGCGTATATGAATTACAGTGACATAGTCGATTACCAAATATGTCTGATATTGGTTTACAGTGATTACCCTGACGTATTTGAGTATTAAGTATCGACAGGTAAAGGCGTATATTGACTACAGTGAAATAGTCGATTAACAAATATGACTAATAGTGGTTTACAGTGGCATAGTCGATTACCAAATATGTCTGATAGTGGTTTACAGTGATTACCTTGACGTATTCGAGTATCAAGGATCGACATATAAAGGCGTATATTGATGACAGTGACATAGTCGAGTAGCAACTACGACTGAAACCTCACTGCTAACAGTACATCTAGCTATAAACGTACTATGACGTTCAGACTTAATCCAAAACGTATCAATAACAGAAACTCGTCATACAGATTAGCTGGAGTTGTAAACGTAAGAGTTGAATATGTTATACACAAAATGTAGTAAGGAGACTTAAATGCTACATGTCAAGTCCTTATATTTGATTAGCCAATTAATATGGTCAACTCGTTTAGTTAGTCAATCAATTATAAACTTTTTTGCGTCGGTCAGTCTAATACATTCTACTGTAAGGATTTAATGTTAAATGTTTACTATATATATATATATATATTATATATATATATATATATATATATATATATATATATATATATATATATATATATATATACATATATATATATACATATATACATATATGTATACATATATACTTATATATATAATTTGATCTGTATAAATTTATAAATTAAGTGCATTATTGATTTACTATTTTGTATAAATGTGGCGTTTAAACTCGATGGACTTTTTAAATGTATGCGTAGTAAGTAAAAAGAGAGTTTATAGTCAAATTTAATCATATTTTTAAAAATATTAATATCTATATGTATAATTTTCTTTATGGGGACCATAGAAGACACCACGCAGTTTAGCCACCACCCTCATCCCCACCTGTCAGGTGAGCCGTGGTTCACCCCGAATGTTTACAATAGTAGAGCCGGTTTGGTTCGAATAAGTAACGGATATATTAGGGGCAGATAATTTAGTCTCTAAACTATTTGAAACTAAGGGGAGATAACAAGTTCTGATTGATATTTTCATTTTCGTCTGTAAATGGCTGCTTTCACTGGGCGGGAGGGGGTGGGGGGGGTGGAGGAGTGGGGGAGGCAGGGCGGTGGGGTAGTGTCTAATTCAGAAATTATAAATTGTTGATAAGTAGAACATAAAACTACACGATAGCGGCGTATGTTAGGCCGCGTGTCAGCTCGTAATGTATATTCTTTCATTTTTTCTGATAATGGATATTCATGATGAGAACGACATGGAAACTACCAGAATTAGTGCAGTGAAATATTTTTACTCAATTATACTTTGACAAATTAAATATTAACAATCCGTGTTACTGATTTACTTTATCTTCTTTTTTATTTATAAGTTAATCCTCTTAATAGTTTAGCAGAGTATTAGGGTAGGAACACATACTAGGTTTAAGTCAAAGATC